AAGTCGTACTACCGGCCGATCCGGAAATTCTCTGACAGGTTTGATCTTCGCCACATGTACTATGGGGAAGATATGATATGCGGATCCGGCGATCTCAAGTTTCACTGCATACTCGCCGATCTTCTCGGCCACGCGGAAGGGGCCATGCCACAGATGCGCAAGCTTCTTAGCATATCCCTCTCGCACCCGATCCAAGTATAGCCACACTCGAGATCCGACCTCCACCTGATGTGGGTGCACTATGTCATTGTGCTGATCCGCCCGATCTGAGATCGCCTCCCGTAAGCGCTGATTCACCTGCTCCCGAGCCTGTTGGTATTGCCTCTGGATCCTATATCGACATGGATCCCGATCCTGTCTTCTTGTACTTCCCATCGGGATCACCGCCTCCAGTGTGGATCTCGGATCCCAACCGTGAACCATATAGAACGGCGTTTCTCCGCGGATCCGATCCCGAGCGGTGTTGATCGCGAAGGTAAGTCGCTCCGCATACTCGTCCCAATCTCGCTGATCCAGATCTTGGACATACATCTTAAGTGCCCTTGTGGTAGTCTGTACCATCCTTTCTGCGGATCCGTTCGCCTGGGGTCTATACGCCATCGTTGCACGTTGACGCTGATCCAGGATGAACGCGTGAAAGAACTCGGACATAAATCCGGGTTCACGATCATGGCGGATCACTTCGCTGGCACCAAAGCGGCGGAACACACATTCCTCGTAGGATTCTGCCACGGTCTGGGCCATGCTGGATCCGCTCGCCTTGGCAATCACATATCCGGAGAAGAGATCTTCGGAGATCAACAGCTCAGTATTACCTTTATAGGACCTGGGCAATGAGGGGATGTGGTCCATGGCGATGATCTGGAATGGATAAGTCGCTTGAAGATTACCCGGCGACTCGCCCTGGATCCGGGGTCGCCCTTTTCCAGTCTCACAATCCACACACTCACCGACATATCTTTGCACACTTCGGTACAATCCTCTCCAGTGAAAATGGTCCCGGATCCGATCGTAGGTACGGCCGATCCCCTGATGCCCACCTTGGAGGCTGGTATGATAATGGTGTAGGACATCTTGATGCAACGTTTCAGGTAACACTAGTCACATCAATTTGTCCCGATCCGCAGCTGATTCCTTCGTAGTGGGACAACAAGACAGGAGGTCGTGCTGATCCACTTCATAATTCATAGCGATGGATCCGCACGATTTGGCCTCTTCCTGTGTCAGATCGCGTATTTCGCCAACCAGATACTTCTTCAAATTGTGGATCCACGCCTCCTCGTCCTGTGCCTGCCGGATCCGCTCGATCCTGAGCTCTCGGATCACTTCTTCGCACAATACTGGGGGGGGTTGGATCCCGATCTCACGCCGGATCTGGCCTTCGATCTAGT